ACTTCTCCAGCTCCCCCTTTCCTATCTTTCCGCGCCTGTTAGTAATGAACACTAAGTTGCTTCAATTCACACGCTTGTTAGAATAAATTACCACATTTTCTGTAGTCAGACTTTTAAAAATATGCACTAGAGGTGCATATTATGTAAAAATGACCACATATGCCAACAAGCTTTTCTGAACATCTAGGGCTAAAATGTTTGAAATTGTTTACAATGACCATCTGAGCATGAAATGAGCTATTTAGCAAGGGTGGAGAATGAAGACCTCCTCTTATCACATCCTACACTCAGAGCTTAATCCCAACTCTATAGTTCAAACTAAACCCTAATGGACCAGCACAAAAAAAAAGTTATTCCTATTCGTGTTACCTTCTGCTCATCCATATTTTGGTTCTGAAGTCCCTTCTGCTTGCCTAATGGAAAAGTCCACATACATTTGAACTTATCAGAAAATACATGCAATTATGTATTAGTTGTAGGGTTTATAGGCTAGATATGCCAGTGAAATAGCACTGAGGCTGAAAAGAAGAAACTGGAAGAGCCATTTGGCTCAGATATCCTAGAAAATGCATACGCAATAAAAGAATCAATTTGTTAGTCACCGAGAAAGGATTAGCAATTTTAATTTAACAACAAATAGCAGTTTAGGTGCTGGAATCCAGAGCAGGGAAAAATGCATTAACTGAAAAAAAACAGAAGCTACTTTTCTCATTATTGGAGTATCATAATTATAGTTCAGTTTCACTATGAAGAATTGCTCCTTGATGGTTCTTGTTGAGTAATTTTGTTCAATAAGGGTCTGTCAATACAATTTGCTTTCAATTGTCAGTTTATACAATATCAAGAATAATGGGCTCACTCAGGTGCACTCGGAAATTGTAATAAAATATTAAATTAGGGGAAAAGAAAACTGATAATCATCTGGTTTAGTATTCTACAGTTATGTCTGAGTTGTTTGAGAAGCTCCCTCCCTTCCTTTCCAACTCAGCAAGCTTAACAATCTGTCGGACTCTTCAAAGACAGCAGCATGCCATAAATTTTTCTATCCAACACTTCTACCAGGCACTATGGGTATGCATTTTTCACGTTAAACCCTTTACACATGACTGAAATCAAGAGCTGCCAATACACAGCAAGAGTACTAAGCTAAGAATTTCCCCCAAATGGAGCAAGCAACACTGTACTTAGTTTGGAAGAGCTGGAATTTGAAGAAACAGATGTGGCACTGGCAATGTAGTTATTGGGTTTTTCACAACATGTGTATATATGTGTATGTGTGTGCATATGTAATTATGAAGGAAGGGGTAACCTTCCACAGTTCAGGCCAGTGTAAATATCATGAGGAGTGTAAACTGCTAAGTGGTTTAAGAACTCTATTTAATATATGCAAGGATATCACTTGAGAAAAAGTATTTATTGCTTACATGAATCCATCTGTCATTACAGACCTACATCAACTAAGTCCTATTAATTTGTACTGCTAACAGGTGGGATAACTGCAAACTAAGTAATTTGTGACATAAATGATAGCTAAATCAAAGGAAGCTAGTTTGAAAATGGGCTTGTTTTTGCAAAAATCTAGGATAGATATTTGGAGGTCTGCTTAAAGCTTTGTTTCTAGAGAAATGTCTGCATATCGAATATAAGCTTTATTGCATTAGCATAGTTATGCCTAGGCTTAAAAAATACTGACATTTGAGGCAATTTATTTATGCAGAAAGATGTAACACCCCATGCCAGCAGCGTAAGTTAATCTTTAAGTTGGCTATTTAAATGAGGATACCTTTTACGTAAGTGAACCTCTGCGCAGTGCAAAAGCAGACACCAAATTACACAAAACTGAACATCAGCTGTCAGTGCAGTGGTAAAGGAAATACACTCCCCCCAACTACTGAGTGAAAAGTAGAAAAGGAAAAAAGGCAAACAACAGCTACATTGCCTTGCCAAACTGTTTTCCAGATACTTATTTATAGCAGGCTTTCCAGTTTAGTTCTATGTTTCACTTAAAACATCTGTGGGGAATTTTGTAGAAAAAAGATGTAAAAGCATTTTGTCTTTAGTATGGAATAAATTTTCTAACTACTTTGAAGTCAATCTGCCACTTAGCTTGAGTTAAAGCTTTTGGTAAATAAAAACCATCTCATTATCTTTGTTCCCAAAGACCCTAATAGCAGAATAATGCAGGCATTTTAAGACTTCCATGTAGTTAATTTCACTGTAATCTTACACATAAACTATATGTGAAGCAATTAGGTTATAATTCAGCAAAGTTATTAAACGTTAAGTACTTCTGTTAGGCTTATGAAAGCTACTGTCCAACATGAGCCCAGCATCTCCGAGAATGAAGGTGGGGTCACTGTGCTATCAAAGGCAGCAATCGAGCACACTGCTCTCCCGTACCAGTGCACAAACAGCAAACCTCTCACTTTTAATGAGAGAGGATAAGCCTTGGAGACAGCATCAAGACTGCAATGGGCAGTTGATTTTGCCTGCCTACTGCTGTTCTAATAGCCAGAGGCTGCCACGATAACAGAGTTATCACTACTTAAATACCTTCTTGGAGCAATGTTGCCTTGGGTGCCTTTGTACCTCAGTAAAGCAATGCTCAAAAAAAGCCAGGTGTTTAGTGCAGTATTTTTCAATACAAAGAAACAAAGGGTACATCCCTTTTCTGTTTGTACTAAAGTGATTGAGGATTCAAGGATGATGTTATATTTCGCACTGAATCATGCACAGTAAGAGATACAGTTCTGAGTCTCTCACAGCCCAGATCAGCAATCCCCTCAACAGATTTCTCTTTTTCTTTTGTCAAAAATGTAGTAAATGTGTATGTTTTTTTGCTCACATGTACAGCAAAGCTGGTTTTAGCAGTTTGGAAAATTAACATGAAATGGAAATTACAACCTCCTGTCATCTCTGTAACAGAGAGGCAATTCAGAATTAAGACTGTGCTTAAGGTAAATACAAATATGGTCAAGTGAAAAAGGAGGAGTTAAACAGTACTACAGAGAAGATTCTTAGGGCTAACAGCAATTTCTGACTTGCACTGTGGAGTTTCATGCCACCTGCCCCCCTACATGCACTCTTCCTCAAAGAAACACACCTCGTCCATTGGATTTATCACAGTTCTTCACTGGCTTTCAACTACCTGACAATCCTCACTTTCCAGAAGGTGGAAAGTATCTCCTTTTCTGTAGCATAGCTGCTTGGCTCATTTTTTTCTGTTGCTGACATGATCAAACAATAACATTCATTTCCACTGCCTTGCTAGTGTATATGTTGCATATCAGGTAGCTGCATTTCCACTTTTCCCCTGTTTTGAGTATTTCTTCAGATTGAATCAGGATTCTTAGTAAAAGACATTTAATAGCAAGAAATTCTGAACCAGGTTTATTAAACAAACTGCATTTAAGGGTTCTGATTTAAGTCCAAAAAATGTGAGAAAAAGCTTTACAAGCACTCAGAAAACAACAGTGCTGCGGACCTTATAAAATAAGCTTGTAGGTAGATACATAGTTGAGAAGCCAGATCCTGAGTGTAGTTAAGCCATTTATAATCTAATGGAATCAGTGATATGCTATGCATAACACTATGTTCAAAACAGAGGATTTTATGGGGCCTGAAGTATTTCCTCTTCCACAGAGTTATTTGGTTACAGGTAACAAATCTTCTCATTATGCTGACTGCCAAAATAGCCTAAGAGCTACTAAACACTCTGAGACATCCCAAGGAGAAAAAAAATATGTATTTTACAAACTGATGACAAGAGACACCCAAACACTCATAAGAAAAGACATCAAAGTTGCTGAGAAGCTTCTCTTCAAAGAAAGAAACAAAGAAATAAAAGCACTTAAGTAAAAATCGTCATGTATTAATGAGGCCTATAACTACTGCAATAGATAAAATGGGAAAATGGGACATGGAGAAGTAGAACAGTTTCTTTCGTATAGCAAATTAATAACATTATATAAATTTTCAATTTTTCTCCCTACTTTTATCATGAGAGATTCTTCCTCTTTAAGAAAAACTGTCAGTAACATTACAGATAAGATGTCCCGAAAGGATACAAGCGTGACATCAGCCCATGTACAGATTAATTTTACATAGAAATATGTAGTTTAGAAAGGAACAGAACTGAACTATGTTCCAGTTTTAACTATAATTAGGGTACATGTATTTAGTCTTCATTTATTAGCTTTGCTGGAAGATGGTGTTTAATGGCTCCAGAAGAGAATGGATAGCACATATAGCCTTTCTGGGAAAGGATGCCCCTAACCTGTCTTTCTTTCCTGTTTCAGCCCAGTATCCGATAGCAGCCCATTTACCTGGCATGGGCTTCTCATTCTGGGCCTACTATTACCTGTGGGGTCCTTCATGCCATCATACAGCTATGCCCCTGCTGGGGACCTCGCCAGAGACAGTGTAGAATACAGTGCTGGCAACACAAGCAATGGGGCTTTCTCACTCATTTTAAGAGAATTACAGTAGCTCAAATTGTGATAAAAGTTTTTTAAAAAGTTAAGGTGGTTTTCGTGAGATACAAGTTGCAAATACAGAAGCATACAAAGGATTTAAAGACTATATCAATACACAATCACATTTTCCTTTTCCGAGTTTGTTTTGCTTCTGTGTTTTAGCAAGGGAATGTAAATTTTTAGGGAAGAGTCAAGAGTCACATAAAATACGGGATTTTATAGAAGCATTTTTAAAGTTATGTTTCCCTGGTGCACGTGGGCATGCTTCCAATATTTAGGTTGACCACTTAACTATAGATCAGTTTCCCTCACAATTTCTCCTGTACATTGATTCAGGAAAATAGCTAGTTCCTGAAAAGTAATTTATCTTTTCCATTTCTTCCTTTCAGTTTGTCTTTTTGTTGGAAGGGACATCCAATCTCCCAGTTTGACCAATACCAAATTTCATTTCCCTAAGATGTGTGGAGAGATGGGGCAAAGGGTGAAGGGAAAAATTGATGTGGGGGAATAGGCTGGAATACCTACCAGAGGAAATGCTGGGGGGTAAAGATCCACCCCCTGACACTGGATGAGAGGCCAGGATGCTATTTAAAAATCCCGCCCTCAGGAATCTCGAAAGAGACTTCACCCCAATGGTCGGAAAGGATCCTTTCAAAGAGATAAAAATCATCATTAATCAAATGACTTGTTCTTTGGCTGATAAAAGAAGTTGTTTAAAGAAAGAATAACCAAATCTCTGCAGAGTTAACAGTGGTTTCACTGGAACAGATCTTATAAAAAGCAGTTAAAAGTCTTTGTTTGCTTTTTAACCAAGTTATACAATACACAGCTTTAACCAGAAAGAGGCTGTTTTCTGTATAATTTACAGGTGGAGAATTCCAGCACTTCTAGGAGGAATGGAAAAAGTTGATATTTTAAAGGCAAATTACACCTACTGCACATTCATACTGCATTCCAAATGATACCACAGAGGCATTTTACAATATTGTATTCCATTCAAAGACAGACCAATAGAGCTGAAGCTATACCAGCAAAGCTGTGTTTTATACTAGTATTTTAATGCCACTTAACAAAAGACGTGTCAGGCAAGGGGAGAAGTGGAACCCTGACTTCTGTGTCAGGGCAGCTACATTAGTCAGAGCTTCTATCACATCTCCCAACGCCTATCAATGTACTGATGCAGGCAAAAAACAGAAGTAGAGACATGGCCCCTTTCTGCTTTGCTCTCACCAGAAGCTTAACACATTTTACACTTTCAACATAATAAACTTTATATCCTTCTCACTGCCTAGATGTATAGTTTTATTTCTGGAAACAATGATTATCTCATACACCTCCTTTAAAATAAGTACTTGTGCCATATCTATGATAGTGATGATAAAAAAGGACTCTGTCATTTGATCCACTGTCTCAGCTTTCAGCATATATACAGAGGTCTAGAGACATCATTTCAGCTAGCTCGTGTTAGCGAATGTCAGCATCAAAAATGGATCTGAAATGAGAGCTCTACACATCTTGCTTAAAAGCACGAGTCAAGATTCTCCCAACTTGTAATAAATTTAAATTGACAATCAGAATAAATTGTGGATTTTTGCAAGTACATCAAGCAAGTATCCATCCAAAATTTAGGCAATAGCAAGTTTGTTTTTATCATCTTGCAGGTATCTCATATTAGTTCTTTTGAGAGACAGAAATCATCTTAATATTTATATACAATGAGAAAAATAAACGGCCATCTTAAAATTTATGCAACAGCTAGGATTTTTTTTAACAAATAAAATTATAGCAAGGAAAATTTAGCCTCAAAACACACATATGTATTTGCTGAACTTAAAGTAGCCTAGGAGAGCTTTGAATTTTTGTCTTATTTTCAGGCAAGAGTTCTACTGTTTTTCCTCAATATGCTTGTCCTTTAGATTTGTTATTAGAGCTGCTGCAGTCTGTGGAAAATTAATCCATTTAATTAGTGTTCTGGACGCAGTATTTTTATAACTAACGGCTAAAGATAAGGCATTAAAGTTTTCCCTCTGGCCACTCCAGAAAAGCCTTTGGCATTCTTGTAAAAGTGTTTCCAAATCTCATGGCTTTCATTTTAAAATATTTTCAGAAGTTATCATGGATAGAAAGTCCAGAATGCAATACATAGAAATTCAATTTTAGAATGGAAAATTGTTCCATTAAGTCCAAGATGTTCGATACTAAACAGCATCTTAAAACATGAAGGCTAAATAATGAGCATATGAAGAATTCCCAAATAAAACTTTGCTTCTCTGTTTCAAAATATGAATTATACCAACCATAAAGTACACCCACTATGAGCCATATGTACAGACATTCAGAAAAGCCAAACAGCTTGAGCTTCACCATTGACATTTTCCTACATTTTGATGGTGTTAAATGGCAAATATCTCGTTTCCTAGCACTCTTACAATAAGTTACTTTGTTATAGAAAGTAATGAAGACAAAACCAAATTTATTTCACTTATTGTACATATTCAGAAACAAAACCAAATAGCAGCAAATTTTCAAGCAATTCAATCTGAGTACCAAGAAGAGAGCTAGAGAGCTAAAATTATTGAGGCTTTATAAGAAGCAAATAGCTAAGAGAATACATATAAACAATGTTTTTCTCTCACACTTAAAAGGTAGGATTCAGTTGCTTAAGCGTAAATGCTTTTTGTCATCTGAGATGCTCTAGAAAATCTGAGACATTCACATTTGGCAGACATGGCAAGATCTGCAGGAGATTTGCATTCTTTGAAAGTGGCAGCAAGAGGCAAAGTAGGAGCTGGGTATCTAAGAGTAGCTATCTACAGTTGTTTTTGGCAACTGAATCCCACCCAATTATTCTACTATCACCTCAAAAATATTTCTGATTAAGTAGAATAGTGTTACAAGAACAAGACCTCATTTAGTGTCTTCTACAAGTCCACAAACAGCTTCTGAAAAGGACAAGGTGTGTAACATTCAGCCCTGATCAGCATCCACCAACACAAAAATGCAGACAAAGGAGAGGCTGAAAGTCCATTCATCTTAAAACATTCATGGTCATAAATTAAAATACAGCATTTTCCCCAGAATGAACAAATGGGTTCTTTTGGTATTATTGTCTGTACAACGTGAACAGGGTTTAAGACTCTATTACATGACTATATATATGGAAGTTGATTACCACTGCAGGTAGTTGGGAAAGAAAATGAGTTCTTGTAAGTCCCGTCAGTCACCACCAGAAGGACAAAGGTTTAATAAGAGTTTTGAGCATTTACAGAAATTTAGAAGCTTACTCAAATTTTTACTTGTTTGCATAAACATTCATGAAATCTTTGACAGAAAATCTGTAACAAAAAAAAATATTCAAGACAGAAAGGGAAAAAGCTCTTTGAAGGCTAACACAACAAAGAAGAAGGGAGATGGGATCATGATAAACAGAAAACACTAGCTTCTCTGAAATATTACAAACCTGTGTGGAAATCAATGAAGAAGAACTGCATTTCCTTCTACCTGAACATTTTTTTTTATTTGACAATGAAGATACAGTCTTTCCTCTTTTTCCAAACTATAATCATGCTTAGCTAAAGAAAAAATCCTCCCAAAATGTGCCTTCTTTACATCCTGCTGCTTCGTGCTCCAAGCTGCAAAAGCAATATTCATTTTTTAGAGGTGTATGATAGCAATAGAAATGTTAATACTTAATTTAATCACTCTCTTTAAAGCAACCACACTGGACACTTTCAAGATGCTAGGATATTATTTCTTTAGTTAATCAACTTGCTTGAGAAATGCCATTCTGTTAGTGTACATCATACAGAGACTAGTGCTATACACCCATTTCGTGTAAAAATTACACTCACTTTTGCAGTGGGTGCAGTTACACTAAGGAGAAGACCTTTTAGTATTAGGTCTTACTGGCTCTAAACTGGGAAAAGGAAACATGAATATTAAGCTATGTTTCCTCAGTGCCCTGAAATACAGCTTACAGGCATGGATTTATTGAGGAAAAAACTCAACCTCTCCCCCCTCCATAGTTATACACTATGAACATTATGTCATCTTAACATAGCAAACCACATCCATTACACATATTAGTTGGAAAAGTGCATTGAAAGAGTAAAAACATCTAGAAATACTCTAAATAGCTGATGGTTCATGAAGTATACACCATTTACTGAGTCCTGTGATGCCAGTTTATAACTCAGCATAAATTCTTCTGTTTCATAATTATTACAGCTAAGTGCCTGTGCTCAGAAGCAGTGGGGGTGTACTGAATCAATGAGCCTGCCTTCCACCTTCATCTGCTGTTCCAAGGGGAATATCATCCCACAAATTGTAGAATTTGATAGGGAAATCACTAGTACAGCATTCTAAACTGGCATGGTTTTAGTAGCGTAATCACACAGAGCAGAAGGGCAAGAGTAGATGGGTAAAGGAAATACTTATGCTTAGTTCAGCTCCAGAGCACATATATTAATTCACACACATTTACTGGCACTTGCATCACGACAGCGTGGCCAGCCAGAAGGAACAGCCATTACTCCTCACACCAAAGGCACATCCCATGGCTTAGGGCTAGTGGCACTGGAGAGAATGGCTAGTGGCCATGGAGAGAATGGCATCAAACGCACCCGGTGCAATACTGGTGGAACACAATAGGCTGAAGTGAAACACACAGCTTCTCTTTGAATGGGGAGTGGAGGGCCCTTTCTGTGCTACAGTAAAAAAGCATTTAGAAGGAACTAACTTGCACTTTAAAACTCTCAGGGATTGAGCAAGCTGAGAAACATTAACCTGACCCATTAATTTTGCTGCTGACACTTTGCAGAAACTTTCACCAGAAGACCCTCAGAATTTTCCACAGAAACTGAACACAGTTTTATTTTGTTAATGACAGTACATACCCACTCACATCTGCTGACCTGAGTGCAAACATTTCCACCAGTTTTTCTCCCACATGCAGTAAAGTGCCAGCACACTGCTGGCCGTCCTCAGGGTCCCCCATCCCACCCTTTCCTCCTTGCCAGCTGCTGGCTTCTTTGCCCCACTACGGTCATCAGCACTTGAGCCGATGCTGTGGCAGCCTCTGGGCCCACAGGACTTGCAGAGATGGCATCTGAAGCTGCTAAATTGTGCAGGGACAGGCAGACAGGGCCATCAGCTTGTTCTGTTTGTGCCAGGGTCCCTGAGCCTTGCTGGGAGCAAACTAAGAATTAATTTTTTTTTCCCACTATAGCAATTGTACTGGTGGGACCTTAGTGAAGCCTGTGGAGATTCGCTTTTAAAACGAAGAACATATCTAGAGACTTTACGTTGTGTCTAGCCACCTGGTTGAAGTAGGTTATTAGAAAGCCTACTGAAGATACCTAGTGCTCTTCGGCCCTGTTACTTGTAGTTGTTGGGTTTTCTTATGTCTTACACCTTAAACTGATCAAACACTTTCTGCAGGTGGAATTGACCATTTTGGGTGCTGTGTATTTTTTGGCATCTAACAGCTTCAAATTCAGAAGGAACTCTTTGGCTGCTTAATTTAATAAACTGGAAGGAGAAGTGCTAGAGAGGTGACAATTACCGTCAGTTATTTCTTTTAATTAGTACCATCTCTTTATTAGAACTATCAGAGGAAGACTTTAGTTTGTTATTCTTTTCCCACAGAT